TGGTTAACACTTATTTGAACCCTTAATTTCGCCCTGAATCATTTGCATGTTTCTTTAGGGAATATCTGCATTCTCAGGATAAGAAACAGTTGGAAATTTTTTTTAAATCTGATCTCTCTGATATGTAAATGTCCCAGCCTGATCCTTTAATTGGGACAATATTATGAATATTATGATGAAGCTCTGGTGTTTCAGGTTTAGTTTTAGGTTCTCTTCTCTTTAATCAGCCAGCATGTGGAGTATCAGCCAACTGTTTAATTATTCATTCATTTATATGTTTCCACAAAATATCCACATCCCATCCACATATAACCACAAATGTTTTTTTTTAAATCAACATTTTTGTAAAGCTATGACTCTTTAGGTGTCTTCCTGAATGTGAATTCCTTTTTCTTTGGTGTTTGAGGACAGCGCGCAATAACAAGAATTATCCGTAAATCTACAGGACGTGAACGTGTTACATCTGTGTGGTTTCTCTGTATTTGCTGACTTGTTGAATCCCTTTTTACCACTTCATCGATCACATTTCAAGGCCTGTCCTGGACGAGCTCCGGCAAACATCTCTGACCGGTTAATAATCGATGTGCAGGGGATCCTCTGGCAGCACAGGTTTGCTGGTTCCAGATAATCCAGGACTCAGGATGTGAGTGAGTAGATCAGACCGGTGAGGCTCGACCATCCTCTCAATCCCGCTCTGCCTCAGATCACTTCATTACTGGCATGTTAGTTCATTCTCAGTTTTCTCCTGTTTCACAGCAGGTTAAATTATGCAGTTTCTTTCTTCCTTTTCTTCTATTATTCAATTGCTGTGGAAGTTTTTCCATTTGGTCGGTGAACTTATATATATGATAATGCTGTACTGGATACTTATGTATGAGTCTCTCTATGTGCTAATATTATGTTGAAATACCTCCCTGGGATTTAATCCCTGTCTGGGACATTACTTATATTGTTGATGCAATTACATCTGTAGACACAGTAAAAGACACTGTTATGCCATGCTTTAAATGTATTCTGATTTATAATTCATTCTAGGGGACTGTCTCATGCATAGAGCTGCAAACAGGAATTATCTTTAAATCACACAATCTGATACACTGTGTGAGTCAGAACACAACAGATCAACACTAAGAACACTAGTGATAAATAATGGATTAAAAAAATATTCAATTTTAGCTCAGCTACGATGCTCGTGCCAGAAAGTGTCTGCGAAAATCAGCAAACTGACAAAAATGCCAGTCCTGGACGACCGCTGCTACCGTTCCGGCTGACGGCCAGATAAAACAAACAATAAATAACACCTCGGATAATGTGTCATCTGCAGAGCCGCGGCACGATTCGACGACCTCTGACCTCAGAGGCGCCGTGGCTCGGGTGTGAGTTGTGTCCCTCTGCAGGCCCCGCATGCACGCTGTTCATTAGCATTCATGCTGAAATCCTGTTGCTGCTTCTTGAAACATGAAATGCGTAAAACGCATCACTTCCGAGAAGATTAAACTCAGAGATTAAAGATGCCCATTGTAACGCTTTTAAGATTCTTTGCGGCAATAAACAGCAAATGTCCCTTTTATTGTGTTGTTGCCGTACTGCGTTTGCACGCACTGAGGACTTGGATAGAGGAGGGTCTTACATATAAATCTACCTAAATAACCAGCTCTGAAACAGTGCTTTGAAATGCTGAGATGTGAGACCTTCGGTAAAATTTATTCTAATTGCCAATTTAGGGATATTTGACTGCTGTCATACATACAAGGCAGACGTGCATGTTTTTCCTTTTTTTCTTTTTTTTTTAGGTTGTTTAAAATACTACACTTTAGTTAAAACATTGTAATAAAACAAACATCAAAGGCTTAAGAGCTTAATCTGAGGCCAAATCAGTATTCTGATGCATTAACAGCAGTGATGGAGCGAGATTAAGATATTTTCAAATGCGGAAAACATCGCCATTTCCAAATACTTTGTGACAGGCCTCAAGAATCAAGAGACAGAGCCACGAGACATAAAACAGAATAATCGGTTTGAAAATTTGCTGCTGAAAGGTGACCTTGGTGTCTGGCGGTGGTGCGGTGGTGTGTGCAAAGTTTCCTATTATTGGTGGGATAACATCAGATGAGTTAATGAGAAAAAAAAAAAACTCTTTTCATTCTGTCACGCGGACGAGTTTCTCCAAATTTAGTGGCGTAAAAACTAACCTGCCGCCTCACACTCTGAGATGCGGCGTTGATTGTTGCAATTACTTTACAGACTGCCGTGATGAGGACACTTAAATTGAAGACGTTTCCAGAATTAATCAATTGAGTGGCTGTAAATGGGGATTTTTTTTTTGGGCTTGAACACGCTGCCTCCTAAACCTTTTGGTGTTTATCCAAGGTCCATCTCGGCAGTGACCTTTCCTCCAGTGATTAACGCTTTTTAATGTGGAGTGGTGGGTGTCTCAGGAAGCATTCAATGCAGCTTTTTTTTTTTAAGTGGCAGTGCGGGCTGTATGACGGAGCACCACACCATCCTACAGTCATCACCGAGTGTGTGCCCTTTTCCAAATGCCCTTTGATGGGCGTCACACTCCCAGAAGTCCGTTTTCATTCCTAAGAAAGGACCCACTTCCCGTCACGTCTCTGCCTCTCACTGAGTAGTAACAGTCACCTTCATTCGACCAGGTTTTTTTTGCACTCCATCCATATCGATCCCTCCTGCGGAACATATCTGTGTGGAAATCCAGTTGCTGCTGACCCTTAAAAAAACACACGTATTCCTGTGCACCACACAGGACGTTTGTGTTTTTTTTTTCGCTTTCTTTTTGGGCTGGATTTCAGAAAGGAACGGCTTGAAATTTATATAAGCACACCCACTTATTATTGTGCCATTGCATCACTATGTGGGCAGACAGATGAAGGGGTTTCTGTGCAACACAAGGCCGAAGCTCAAGGATTGCACTATCAGCACTTTTTTATGATTTTTTTATCATTTTTGGAGGAGTAAAAAACTAGCAAGAATGAGAAAGTGGGTTACACGTCGTACCCGCCCTAAATCTTAACTAACAATATTGGCAACAGCGTCAGGTGGGACGCTTAATGTTTAGATTACTTTAAAAAAGGGGGAATGGTTGCCTGTTATTTATACATTTAATCACATCCAAGAATTTGCAACCTTGAGTTCCTGAGGGGCAAAATTCTGCATCCCAGAACAGTAAAAGATAGCATTTTTAGCCATCCCCAAACCTATTCCCTAGGCCTTAGCTTGGATGTCTAACCATGATTGAATTATGCTATTGTCCGAAAAAAAAAAACAGAAAGCGAAAAATGTTATGCAATGCACTTTGATTACACGTTACCAGGCAACCGGTGCAAAGCTGATTGAGCTGTTGGAAGAATGCTTCTTAGCCCTGACTGTGGTCCTTCTCCAACTCCCGTGAAGAAACACCATTGTCTGAACACAACCAGGACGTGTCAAGGGCTTTGAGCATTATGTTTATTATGATAATGAATTGAAGACATTCTGGTCTCAGCCAAATGTCACACAAAGACCATGAAGGCTCTAAATGTGCACCTTCCGCCCTCCCCCTCTCCTGTCCTTGTGGGAGAACTTTGAGTCTGGTTAAACTGAAGACTTGAAAACGCTCTGATGTGGAAACTCGTGTGAGTCATATTGCCCCTCTGCTGCTTGTAGGATGTCATTATAAGCAGCACTGAGGGGCATGAGCAAACAACCTACACAACCATTTGAGTTGGAGGACTGTTCCGGAATGCAGAAAAAGGTCCACAAAGTACAGAGGAAATTGCTTTGAGTGCACCGACATACCAATTTGATTCTATTTGGAAATGATAAGTCATCTTTATCCCGGCAACACAATTGAAACGACGTTGGGAGAAATTTTGATCAGATTCCAGAAGCATATTGAAAAAAAAAAAAAAAGCAGAATCAGTTGTAGATGATGGTACGGGGGTGTCTGAGGCACATGAAGGCCCCATTAGAGCCGTGCTCTGGATGAGAATGCGAGCTCCCAGATCTGCTTCATACTGGAAATGTGTAATGAGGAGGAGAGTCAGATGAGAACGAGAGGAGGCTGCTGAGCAGCGGAAATCTGGTGTTGAAGAATGGACACAGATTATTCGGCGAGGCTGCAGTATTTAATTCTCCGCTTCCCACGCAATGGCTCTCTCCCAACTTTCTAGCATGTTGTAGAACATTACATTTGCGAAAGAGAATATATTTTTCAACTTTTTCAAACTCTCATTTGCCTGCTGTATTCCCCTTTATCACTTACATGTTAGATGTACATTCAAATAAGTCAGTTTGTAAACTTGCCAATATTGTACTAAAGGTGATTTGCTAACTCTCACTTTAGACTATTACTAGTAGATAGTAATAGTCTAAAGTGAGAGTTTCAATAATATATAAAATGATATATATTATATATTATAACTAATCAATTCTCAACAGTGTGCTACATTTTGATATTTTTCTTTCCAGTTCACTTTTTGCCTCAATTGAATGTATGATTGAAAAAAGGACAAACAATCAATAGATATCATAACATCCCTCTGATCTATATCTGCCATAATTAGAAAATAGAAGAGGAAAAAGGTTTTAGACGGATGGAGATCTGTTACTTCTTTTGTTTCCTTCATCTATGTGATAGATTTTCTCCAGACTTTTTCATCAATTACCGCACAGAGGATAGATAACAACCCCAAAGCAATCGCGCTCTCATCGCCCCTTTTCTGGACAGCCTCTCATATAGTTTGCGCCTCTGGAACTCGGGAGGCGTTAAGACCCAGCAGAGGTACAGTAGTGAACATCTGTCGCGGTCTGGTCTGTATGAATTGCGCCTGGGCTTCAGTTTTGGAGACACACAGGCAGCGGAACGCAGGCAGGCAGGCAGGCTCTTCTCCGGGAGGAGGGACCGGAGCGGATCCGGGATGCTGACGGATGACTGTGGACCATGAGAGAAAGTGGAGCCGCACACTGTGAGCCGCAGCCGTGAGACAGCGCGCCGCAAGATGAAGACCCCCATGGTAAGTGTCCAAGTGTCTGTGCCATGTAGTCCCGCGGACAACTGTTAGGGCTCGCTTTTAAATCCCAGCCCTGTTCCGGGAAGTGCGCCTCCGAACACTGCTGTGCGTACAGTGTCGGATCAAAAGATTAGGTTGTGAACAATGGACATCCAGCTGTGCGCGCTGTTTGGCACTCCAGCTCCACCGCGGCGCACCGTCTATGTGGAGGGCAGATTTCTTTTAAAAAAAGTGCATTAGATCTTCTTGTTTCACTTCTATTTAATCCGGATTTTTGTCTAAAAACAAACCAGAAGCGTGCTGCCAGTGGCTCCACGTGAATTTACGCAGAAGGATGAATCGATTTCTGTTGTCAACTTGTAGGTTTTGGGCTTTTTTGAGATGTCAAACTTACAGCAAATCACACGACTGATGTAAGGAGTCTGGGCAGTGAGATGCATGATGTAAAGATGATTCACAGCATGGCTTCTGGACAGTGCCACTAACATGACACGGCCCTTAAACCTTAACAAAGAGAGTCTTTCTGTAATGTGCATTCCTCTCAGCAGGTTGTGGTTTTTATGGCCTGAGCTGAGCATGATGATGATGATGATGATGTCCGAGGCTTCTCGCGCAGCCTGGACCCTGGATTAACCCTAACCCTAACCCTAACCCGTGTTCGGCCTCTGCTTGTGTCTCGGCCTCAGCGCCATGGGGCGGCCGTGCTCCTGGTGGTCCTCCTGTGCGCCAGCCTGCTCCTGGTGTACAACGGCAGCTTCAGCGGCCCCTCCAGGGAGGCCAACGACACGCGCCCCCGCCAGCACGTCCAGCTGCGTCCGGCCGCCCAGGCCTCGGTCAGCACGCCCCGGCCTCGCCCGCCGGTCCTGCCCGGATACACCGGCATCATCGACCACAAGGTGAGCAGACGTGGTGCTCACAGAACGGACGCGAGACGAGCTCAAAACCGGGAAAAAGTAAAGCCAGATTGAAATTCTCCAATTAGAAACCCCCCCGTTGTCTTCACTTTTTCCACCTGAAACACACACGAGCGCGCACACACACCTTTCCTCCTGTTAGGGAGTCGTCTATCGACACGGCTCTTTAGAGGGGGAGAGGCTCTCTCCTCTGTCATTTATCACAATTTTCTCCGGCACTGTTGCGCCACACTCAATACCCACCTGTCGTTACTAATAACAGCTTAGTCCGCAAATGAAATCCTCGGCCGCATTCCTACGCTCTAATTGACGCGCCCAGGAGATCCTGCAGCGGGTTGAACCCTGACGTCATTTGCAGGGGGGTTGTATCGACTTCCGTCTGTTTACCCAGCCAGGAGAAAACAATCAATGTGAGTACTATGGGAGCAAAGGCCCCTGCAAGTAAAACAGACCTAATCACCACGCCAGGGCTTTTGAAGGCAACACCCGGGATGGCCACGGACTCCGGGGAGGTTTGATTTGTGAACCTTTCTCCTGCGTTTTACACCTCTGAAGCTCTCGGTTTTAGGTCTGCCCATCCCTGTGGTGATTTTCGATTCATTTATTGTAGGTTTTGGTCAATCTGGAGTCTTTTGGCAGCCTTCTATTGTTTTTGCTTCATGTTTCTGAAGAGACTGTTATTGTAGTTTGTCTATGTAATTTGGAATCTCGTCCTTGCTGTTATGTACGGCACTTTAGTCCTTTTTTAAACCTTTTCCTCTGTGTGTAATTGTTTACCGTCTCTGATGAGAATTCATTTTGCATCCATCAGTTGTCATCTTGCCTCCTCACAGTCGTTTCAAACATCTGTTTGGTCATTTTCATCCCTCTGACATCTTCACATTTCTGCACAGGCATTTATTCTCGCAGCAGTTGCTGTTTTGTGCTTTCTCTTTACTGTCACATTCCGAATCTTCCTTAAACGTCCGTGGTTGTGTGTCGCTACAGTGTCTCTTTGTATAAACGTCTCGCCCCCTTCCATTGTCGTTTTGCATCCCCTGTTGCCACTTCGCCTCTCTTTAGTCGTTTGATTGACTTTGGTCGTGACTTCTCTGGCCTCTGAGCTCTGGTGCCCTGGCTCTCGTGTCTCATCATATCAGTCCTCTGTGGACGGGCCCGTTTCTTCTGCCTTCAGTCTCTTAAAGAAGGTATCTGTTTGCTTTTTGGGGAAAACGTAAGCCATTAGGATCTGTCATTTGCATTTGAGTAATTAGACAGCCTGCCGCCTGTTCTTAGAGGAGACTGTTGCTGTGCGGATAAGACAAATAAAAAATGGCAACGTGTATTAGCGGCTCAGATTTGGGACTTGGGAATGAACGTTAGAAAAAGTAGCCTTCCTGGTAAATCACCTTCCTCTAAATTAAACACCAGGGGATCTGAAGAGTTACTTTATCTTGCGAGAAAATAATAGAGTCTCAAAATGAAAAGGTGAAGCAATTTTCTAATGTGAAAAATGTGCGGAGCCCAACAGGCGTGGAAACCTTTAATGTTGACCGAAACGTTAAGCCGACTGCGTTCTCGGGAGGTCTGCTGCTCATTTCAGCTTTCACAGGAAATGTTCATCACCGTTTGTGTGATTATATAGTACTTCAGATATTAGCTGACTTCAGGGTGATGTGACCAGAATGACGCTGTCTGAACACAACAAACACAGTGAAAAGAGCTAATATGAGTCATTTATTTAGTTGAAAACAGCTCCAGAGAACATTGTCTTATGTGGGTGTGCTTCATCCAGATTAATGGTTCTGGTTAGACTTGTTGCAGCTTCATTTTCCAGGAGTCTACAAGCAAAGCATCATTTTTTCCCAATTCCAGATTTAGGCGTAATTTAAAAAACAAAACAAACATATTTATAGCTTTGATGTAAGCAGTTGACTCGGGAGGTTTAATGATCATATGATGCCCTTTTTCAGCAGCAGCTTTTAACAACTGGCTCCGTCTTTCCCCCAACCTCACAAATCATTCCCGAGTTTGTTTCCTTAAAAGAAAAAAAAAGACAGCTTTTGTGGCTGAAAAGTCTTAGCTGATAGAAAGAGACAAATCCCACTCTGCAATCCCAGTCTTTTCTATAGGCGTTATGGGTGCCATCTACTGGGGGCTGCGACCATCAAAGAGCTCACGAACGATACTAAAAAAGCCAACAGAGAACATTTGGACATTTAGACAAACTAGTCATCTGTTCTATTACGCCGTGCTATTTCTCCTCTTTTGTCACTGTCACACAGTCGGTGCATGGGCTACTTTTAATGGATTTTATGTTCAACAAACTGGTTATTTTGCTTGTGGTGTCCAAACTCTACAGAAGATGGATCGAATTAACACAACTTGTTACTTATCTTAATGTTATGTCTTTCAATTTTCCATAATAATCATTTGGGTCATATCCATTTGGCTATTTCATGTGCACTGAGGATACCAATCCAGTCAATCTTGCCATAAAAGGGAAGTTAATATGAAAACTGGATGCTTGTGGGTGCATTTTTACAGTTCCTCCTCTCATCGTTTGTATGTTTCTGTAAATAACAACCACTTTCCAAAAGATAATGAAGAGGAACATGAACTAGTTTTGGTATCAAGTGTTTTTACGCTTCATTAAAATTGCATACCTTGCATTGCTCCTCCCTGAAAACATGTTTTTTTCTGTTGTGTTTTTTTTGTCGTTATGTTTTGATGCGGCTGCGTTAATTACTGGTTGCTTAAGTTAATAAGGATTAGACTGCAGTGTGTTGTTTAATACTTTACGTAAATCCAAGTGGTTTTGCTTTTATGTGGCACCAGTGATGAGTTTTGCTTTGGGCTTTGCGCAAGCTCTTTTTAAACAGCTTCATCTTATCCCCAAACCATTTTCCTCATCTTGATGCCCCAAAGTCCGTGAAAAAAATCAACACGCTCTGCATATTTAATCATTTGTGTATCCAAACACAACATTTTCATGAAAACTATTAAACACAAAAGGGATTGCTTAAATGGAAGTTCAAACTGACCAAGAGATGTAAAGACCTGAAAAATGAGCTGTGTATCAGCAACGATGTTCATCAGGTTGGTTTTGGATTTGTGGCTTGCATGTATTTGTAGCTTTTCTTTTGGTCTCTGGCTTGCTTTGTGCTTCTGGTGATTTCCCTAGTTTATGCCTTTTTTCTCCCCCGCTCTTTGTTCTTAGTTTCCTGATTTCTGTGTTCCAGCTCTTTGCCATTCTCACTCAGTCCCCTCGGTGTTTTTTTTTCCGGGTCTGGCCATCAGCTCCACTCCCTTCACCTGTGCTGGTTGCCCACAGCTGCCTCCACTCACTAATAACTCCCCGGCTCTCTCAGGCCCTGTCAGATCCCCATCAGTCGGAACTCATCTCCAGGTCCCTGGTTTCCACGCTCACCGGTTTTTGGCTTCCCCTTTTGTTATCTTTTTGTAATTAAAACCCAGTTTAATCTCCAGTTCCCCGCCTGCACTTTGGGTCCTCCTCGGTTTAGGCTCGGCTATATAAACCTGACACATTGTAAACCTAATATCTGCAGTAATGTCACCACAGCGATTGCTGTTGAATATTAGCGGGCGCAGCTGAAAAAACTGATGTGAGTCTAATCGCACAGCTTCCGTGTTTGCTGGGTAAAAAAAAAAAGATAATTCTGGGTGAAACAGCTTCACAGATTTGCAGAAAAATGGATCGGCAACGCACAACCACACGGGGATGTGACTGTGGGTTGGAGAGGACCATCGGTTTTGCGTTTTCCTGTCGTTATTGTGCTCTTAGGTATTAGTGTTGGTCTTTGGACTGATCCTCGGACTAATCCAGCTCACCGGTTGGCCACTCCGGTGACCTGAGAGCGTTTTGCTCTGCAGATGTTTTGCAGATGTGAAAATGTAGAAGATGAGTCACGGCTGTCGTGGACGTGGCACGCAGAATTTTCTGACACCGCCTGAAAGGCCGATATTCAGTGACCGTGCCGCGTTGGGATTTGATGAGGATCGGTCGGCGGTGCGTGGGTGAGGCCGGCAACGGGCGAGAATTGATTTTCCCCGAGTGAACTGGAGCAGCTGAGCATTAGAAGTAAACCGCCCATTTATTTATTTCATTTCTCCCTGCCATAGGCCTATTGACATTTGTGCAACGGGGGACATCAATTAGGGGCCAGAGCTTTGCCTTCTGATCGTCTAACCGCAAACTGCAGGCGATAGGTCCACGATATGAATAGATTCTGCTCCTTCAGCGTTACACAGCCCAGGCCTCGGTCTCCAGGACTGCCGTACAAGTTGCTGCCCTCGTCTCATATTTGTTTTTTGGCAATGCTGAATGATCCCTGTTTAGAGAAAATACTCTGACTTGGCCATTTATCTCATTTTTTGCTGGCTGACTTCTCCACCGTATTGATGTCTCCAAAATATCAGCTGGCTGGCATATAGGGCGTAGGGCCAGTCAGCGTTTGACCACGGTCAGAGCTACTTTATCTTCCCTACGAGCATCGAACTCTTCACATTTCAGAAACCGCATTTCAGAATAAATTCTACTTATTTTTTTAGAAACTTTTGACCAGAATTTGCATGGAATCCGCCCAGATTATTCCGTATGATCGTCTGCTTCAGCCTTGTCAGGTTATGAATAAAAAAAAAGCTTTCTGTGCATCACAGACTCAGACGTTCGGCTAAACTCCCAGCCTGCATTTTAAATCCAACGTGTTAAATCCACACGGCCAGGACTGGCGCTGGGACGCTCGGCGCCGAGGCGAGGAGGCGGGCTCAGGCCGGAGATGGAAAAAAAAGTGCCGAGACCCCTGCGAAGAAAGGGCAAAAAGAATGAGAGAAAAGGACAAAACTGGATAAGGGTACGGAACGAGAGGCGGATGAAAGAGAAAGCAGGAGTCGGGAAAGGTTCAGGCAGAGACCGACTCACAAGCCAGAGACAGAGTGAAATCCCCGAGGGCTTTCCTCTCTTCCAGCACTACCCTGATTTT